GTCTCGAAGCCCGCGGTGGACCACCTCACCTAGACGGGTATCATCTTTTTTATGATCGACTAGGATATACATTTGATTAAAATCTAAATTAGTAATTAGGAATCTAGGTCATCTAGATGGTTTCTCTTCTTAATCTTGATTGCAGTTGTAACAAATCATGTGGTCCAGTTGGTCCAACACCTGCGTGGTTGTAGGAGTCTAAATGTTGGTATAACGAAATAGTTTCTAAATTACAAATCGGGGGTCACCGGTTGTACCTAAAATCCAAACCCACTCTTAGATATAATATTAGTTATAATAATACTTATTTATAAGGGAATAAGTATATATATATACCTTTCTGATGTTTGACCTCTGATCTATTTCTATCACCTGCCAGGTCGGGTGTCACCGACTACAACATCTAGATTATTTCACCTGCAACAAGATGAGCGATCACAATCGCAGGTGCAACAGGTCCAACCAAATATTTCCGTTACTAGTTACCAACTTTTATTCTATTGCATATTGATTATGAATTGTTTCTCTTTTTATTTATGATTTATCCTTAATTGGTCCTTGTAGAATATATGATTAGGTACAATAGTCTACTCGTAAATCTAGACGGGAGCAATTACACCTGTCGAAGGACCTACAAGAGACGAAGCATGTAGTTGCCAACCTGCTACTAGGAGCTGCGCCCCTTGGTGCTGCGACAAGGTCTTGCACCTAGACCCGTAGACAAATCGGACCGAGGACAAGATGTATACGACAGGCACCACAGGTGCTAACAGCGTGAAAAGTCACAAACCTCAGAGGCGGAGCATGATCACAGTGACAGGGTCGCATCAGCCGACCACCATTTGTCTCTAACCAATAAATGCAGTAGCTCTAGTCGTCGAGTCGACACCGAGCTCGAGTTCATGGTCACGAGCATACTCACGTGACAATATGAATAGAGAAGGAACCTGAGGGTATCCGGTAGAATAATCAGGATTTACATCCTTAGTGAATTAACTGTTAGTGTTTAATCATAACAGCCAAAGTAAGAAATCTAGATTTATAAGATAATGGTTTAATATTCAGGGCTACAGGTTATTACACTGCCTGCGAGTGTATGTCCTCGGTTATTCCATTAAGCATAGGTATGAGTACTAAGAGAGCCCGCGCTCCGCTCTGCAAAGAGCCAAAGAAACCCTATTGGCGGCCATCGTATATTCTTTAAGGAATAGCACGGGAAGGATCCGAGAAGGTCATCGATACAACGCAGGGGAACCTGCATCAATATTTACCAGCAACTGCAGGATACGGCATGTATCCACCCAGAAGAGCCAGTCGGATGAAGCTGGTGATGCTTAAGGGCATCGGTTATGTAAATAATCTGATTCTCGTGTAGACCCCTTTTGCTAAAATAGTTGGTAACTGTAGCACGAGTGCCTCTTCCTTCGAGGCTCGCCTCTTGGTAACTATTAGAGTATCAAATCATCTTGTTGTACCATCTAGATGAGGCGTAGGTTTCAGAGGTCGTAGCGCCTGAGGTTGAGATGATACACCACCCCGCGGGTCAAGTTGTGATCTCTACCGGTATCTCTTCTAGATCCTCTGATACCTAGAAGTCAAGGAGGGTAGGATACCTACCTACATGTTTGACCTTGCACCACTTACCTTGGGACGAAAGATCTACTCCCTCAGGAATCTAATTGTAGTTGCAGCAGGAGGGTCGTACCAACCTAATAAAGGTAAGAAGATAACTACCTAGTAAAGACCAATCATTCCCAATTAGATACTAATAGATAGATCTAAAGATCGTAACATAAATACTAGTAGAAGTAGAACCTTATATTATAATACCTAAACCTAATAGATCATAATATTTATATATACTAGTAGAACCTAAAATAGATCAGGTATCGAGATCCCTTCGAATGTAAATTACTAATATTAGATAAATGATAAATAAGTAAATAATTAATTAGAAGTAGACAATTCCCGCGGGGGAATTCCTAAACTTTTTAGGATTTATTGATCGACTCGAGATCGAGGTCCCTTCTATTTCTATCACCTACCGGTGGCCTCTACTACAACCTGCGATGCTTTTACCTACTTGTACAACCTGAATCCTAACTAATAACGCAAATAGTTTCTCAATTCCAAAACCGGGGTCACATATTGTACCTGAATTCTAGATTTACTCTTACATATAGTAGTAATAATACTTATTCTTTTATAAATAAGTATATATATATATATACATCTATCCTACATATTTGACCTCGGACTGATTTACCAACGGGTCTACTTTTTACGTTATACCATCGTGACCTCTAGGACCTACAGCTAAAGTCAATCAGGTATCCAATTACAAACCAACTATACTAGTCGAGACCAATTAGATAAGTAGTAGAAGCTAAATCAAAATCTAAATCAGTTACCGTATGGACAAGAGTCATCTCGACCTGTTGTAACAGGTAGATTCTAATCAAGACCTCTCGTAGAGATATGCTCTACATCCTAAGAGTTACCTAATCTAGGAGTTAGAATTCTAAAACATTAGGTAAATTAAGAAATAATAAAATAGCTACAGCAATCATAAATAGTAGTAATCTAAAACTTGTAGGAACCAAATGATTACCTAACTTGGTACCTAAATCAGACCAACTACCTAAAATAACCCGCGTGTCTACACCTAACAAATCCTAAAAGGTGAAATGATAAAATAAATACAAACCATAAAATAGGAAAATATACACCTGAATCCTAACTAATAACGCAAATAGTTTAAGATTCCTACAGTCGGTCCTACCTCTAGCGATGTCAACTACAAGGTCTCGACCTACTACAAATAATCAAGATGACCTACATCAGGACCTCGGTCCCTCAACCATCCTTGCCTCCTCGATATCTTTCTTCTTTTAGCACCTCTTCCCCCCCGGGGGAGGGGACCCCGACCTAAGGACAAATTACCTAACTATTTGAAATATTATAAATCTAAAAGTAGAACAGGAATAAATGATAAGTTAGGTTAATGATTAGGTAAATTAACCCTCTTATGCTAGAGCCTGTTACAACTACATCTATTCCTAAGGTATAGGTAAAGTAGATCCAGTAATCTACGTAACTATTAGAAGACTAATTGAAATCCAAACCAGAAGACCAATTAATAATAGACTACGTATCTAAGAGGACTCGAGGTCCTTGTCCCTTCGTACCGATGGTTGTACCTGCTAATGTAGGTAACTAGCTACCTAAATTAGATATCTTCTGCTACGCTGGCATTCCTACAGCTACACTTCCTAAGGTACGGTATCCCAACAAGAAGATAAATAAAAGAGGAGAAGTAAATTCAAAAGTTAAAAATAGAAACAGATATGTAAAAATAAAACTAAATTAGATCACCTGCAACAAGATGGGCCGTAGGTAAGGTCTAGACCTATCACAACCTCAGGCCTACGACAAGGGCAGTAGGAATCGAACCTACACTTATAATATAAATATTACAGCTCTAACTATTAAACTACACCCTTTCTATTCATATTCTCACTGAGGTATGATTGTACCAATGAGGTCACCTCCTTTTAAACACCTACGGACTCCTACAACATCTAGATGTATCATCCGCTACCTGTACCTATCTATTTATCTTCGAGAGGGTGTATCCCTATGACCCTGCGAGGCCTACAGGACGAATGATTAGTTACAATCACAGGTCCCACAGGTGGGACCATCTACAGTTATCATTGGACCAACAGAGGAGAAGAGTCATAGCAAATGATTGATCGTCCCTACGGTTACACCGACACCTACGGTGCTACGACGAGAGCAACTGCATTTATTGATTGGAAACAATTAGATACCATCTAGATGGGTTGCAATTACAACCTCAATTAGAAACAATTAAATAAAGTATAACTCAATTAGTAATACAACATCTAGAAATGTAGATCCATATAAACCCATCTATATTAGTTGTAGTATATATGTATATCTATTTTTGATATTCGACCTTGGACCAATTCTAGATTTAACCTACTTTTTCCGTTATACCATGATTTCTAGTCCTCATCTAAGGATCAAACTAATCGATCCTAAACAATAATATTCCAACTACAACATCTACTTGTACCTAAGGGTGCAACTACAATAAAATAGAAAGATAAATCAGTTCAGGTTCTAGCTCATATCTAAGAGTTACCAACATTTCTACTCCTACAACATCTACTTGGACAACATCTAGAATTGTCTACGATACCGCTCCCTACGGGCAGGCCAACACCGATGCAAAAAAGCAAAAGAGGTCCCAACCAACATTCATACCTGCTCCTTTCCTATTCATACTCTCACAGCCTTGTGTTAACCCTGTAGCCTCGAGTTGTCACTTAGAGCACCTACGGGTGACAATATGAATAGAGAGGGAAATATTGGTAACGATTTACCAACTTTATGATATATTAGGTTCTACTTTTACCTATAATTTACATGATCAAATACAATAATTATTACTTATAATCAATGATTAAGATCTACTAGCGAGCTAGATCAGTAATGCAAATCTACGATTAGTTATTCTACTTCTACTTAATTAGGTTAGGTTCTTACTAATTTAGAATTACTACTTATCTACTTTAGTTGTAACTAGTTAGTAGGAATTATTTCTATAATTATTTATGGTTTACCTTTTCTATTTTAGGTTTTAATTATGATTACTATTTTATACTTCTATTAGTAGTAATTAGTATCCATTGATTGTAACTATATTAGTATTGGGATTATATTTCTCAATTTAATTAACTAGTTTATTTGGTTATACCTTCCTATTATTACTATTTCTAATATTATGATCTACTTGGTCTAAGGGTACAACTATATTTATATTTATTAATGAGGTTCTATTTAGGATTATTAGTTATTGTCCATCCTGAATAGTTGGTAGAAGGGACCTTGTCTTGAATTAGGTTATGATATTTCTCATCTAATTCATCTGTTATTAATTATACCACTACGTTCATGCTCATACCACTACGCTTATTCACCATCACTTTGTTAGGAATCTAATTCTAGCCTTTGGCTTGCATCGCATGCTGAAGGCAAGCTCCGCTAATCGTATATCTGCATCTTTTGCTATTTTAGGATTGATTGGGTATTACATTTAGATTTATCCTTACTTATTTATGATATACCTTTAATTAATATGTATTTATTCTAATATTCTTACCTTTATTAGTAATATTTCTATTCTAGTTATCTAATATTTAGTAGGATTATAGTTACTAGTTTATTAGGAATTATTTCCGTTACGTTATACCATCTACCTTTCTAATACAATATATAAGGGTAGATTTGGGATTTAGGTACAATATGTTAGACCAGTTTTTCAAGCCTCATACTTTTTCTGTTTGTAGTTACCAACTAGATTCCTATTTTACCAACTTTATCACCTACATGTTTGGCTACGACAAGAGCTCTCGTAGCTAGTCGACTAGAAATGTAGTTGGCGTGGCCCCGCGGGGATGAGGACACGATTGGATCTACAACAGGACGAATGATTAGTCACAATCACCGTAGGGACAGAGGTAATAGGTTGGATACCACACCCTAGTCGATCATTCGTCCTCAGGGGTGGTACAACCGTAGGGAGTAGATCATCTAATTGATCATTCATCCTAATAAATTAAAAGAGAAACTGGTCTGGTACCACCGTATGACCACCTACCCTCAGAGGCAGGTGGCTCGACACCAAGTTCCAACCCAAAAAGAGAAAGGTAAGATGATAACTAATAAATAAAATGATTACCAACTAGATGGTCAAGACCTATCAAACCAATAGTTATTACAACTACAATAGGTACCTAGGACCGGAGGGACACAATTAAATGATAAGTGAGGTCATCTATTCATAAACATATCGTAGTGACATTATGAATAGAAAGGGTGTAGTTCAAGGGTTAGAATTCTGGTCTCCAAAACCAGCGATATAGGTTCGATTCCTATCACCGATGGAGGGTGTATGATGATTGGCATGTTGGTGTGGCCTCATACCACCACCTAGAAATGTAGTTAGATGACAACTCTTGCACCTAACCCAGGGTTTGCACTCGCTAGGAGTTGGCACACCTTGTGCCTACGACTAGGCACTAACCCGAAGGGATGCCCTTCTCTACGAGAAGAGCTTGTCGAAGACATGCGAGGCAAGTCCCGACTAGTGCCAACAGTTCCTGGTAGAAGAGGTCAACATGATAGACAACTATATTCCTAATTAGCAATTAGATAATCAAGATGATAACCGTCGGTATCATAGGGACATCAGTTATTGTTGTAGCACAAGACCTCTAACATCTAGATAGGGGACCCTTCACTGTGGCAGGCATGCCACATTCTCTCCGAGACTGCCGAAAGGGTGCATGGCACCGACCCGTGGGCGGGGACCACCGACAGTTATTGTAGTTGCAGATCATCTTGTTGATCCTTCGTCCTGTGATTGCAGTAGCTAATTGGTCCTTTTGTAACTGATTTATCTTAGAGATGTAGCACCTCAATTAGAAATACTGGTTGTGATAGGTACCGACCCACCCAAGGGACCTTGTTGGTAATCATCTAGGTCTGTAACAGACATGAGCTACGCTTGACTGGGCTAGGTCTAGACCAATTAGAATTAAAAGTATCACAACTCTACTAGATAGGCCCTTAGGTAAGAGGCCACAGCAGGTACAGTTACAACAGGTCAAGACCAACTAGTTGGGACCAATCACGATTTGATAAATGATAACATAAATAGTTTCAACATCCATGTTGGGACAACCGTAGGTATCAAATAATATGATAATTGAAAAACCACTCACAGAAAAGTTAGCTCGTTGAGATGTAGGTCTGGGGTCGTACCTGTCGAGTTTGCTTGTCCCTGCGATGGTAGGTTGGTATGAAACCGATGGTCCATCTTGTTTCTCATCTAATTGGTGACTTGCACCTAACAGATATTGTCCTAGGAGGTAGATGATCAAAGGTAATCGACTTGATAGTTTGCACCCAAAGGGATAGGGAATAATTGTCGTGGGTTTTGAGGTATTGGTCTAATTGCAGTAGCTAATAAATAGATGGGTACCAACTAGTCGGGGACTTGCATCGATTCGTACATCTAGATTTGTGAAAGTTGATATATCGTAACGTAAATAGTATCGCGGGTGGAATATTGGAATCATGATAAAAGTGATCAATTCCCGCGTGAATTGTGAAAGTAGGTCGATTATAAAATTGGTAGGGCAGATTGTAGTTGGAATGATATTTTACCCCTTAGTAATACTTATTCAATTAAAGGTAAGAATAAATATATATATATCTTTATTTTTGATGTTATATTTAAGAGTGGTTTTGGAATTTAGATGGTATGACCTCTTACCTACGGTGATTGATCGTCCCTACGAGACTCTTTGTGATTGCACCAGTGCCATCTACATGCTGCGCCTCCGTCCCTGCGGCCCTACGAGGGAGGTAGATCATCTTTTCACTTTTGGGTCGATTGTCCCAATTAGGAATTGATATTGCACCTGAGGTAGATGATACCGTGGGACCTCATGTCTACGACCCCGCGGGATTTTGTCAACTTCGAGCTCCTACCAATATTTTAGGTATTCCAACATAAATAATATCAGATCTCATTTTAGATTTAGACGAATGACTTCTCCTTCTATTCATATTCTCACCAACGGGTGTAGTTGGTAGGGAGTTTATGTTGCAACTCTGTTTGTAGTTGGTATCGACTAGGGTTGGCACCCCTCCTAGTGCGCAGCTCCTAACCATCTAGATGGGTTGTGAAAAGTTAGCCCGATGAGAAGTTGGACCGAGGTCAAACATTACAAATCTAAATCTACGATTAATTAAAATATTAGTAGTAAATATATATATATATCTATCCTACATATTAGAGGTCCTGTCGGGATACCGATTAGGTTGTAAATCATAAAATATTAATCTTAGATATTAGTTGGTACCGATTAGGTAGGTCTAGACCTTAGGTTATCATCTATTGTAGTTGAAATCCAAATCTACCTTTAATTATAATATTAGTAGTATCTCTAATCGAATAAGTATATATGTATCTATCTTTCTTTTTGATGTTTGACCTCTGTCCGGTTGCCCCACCGGTCGACTTTTCCCGTTATGGTATGACTTGGGCTCGATTTATAACATTATTTGGATTGATGGCAACTAGTTGGTACCATCTTTTCCGTTATGGTATATCATGATTTAGACTCCTACACCTGCGGTATCATACCAACAAAACCTATTGTTCAGGATCGAAAGTTCGAGGTCTTCCCGATTTACCAACTGACAAACTATTTTACGATTGCATGGGGTCAATCATTGCAACCAATGATCATTCATCCACCTCGGTGTAGGTGTAACGGGTTTGTAAATGAGAACTGAGGTCGAATTTGTATATTTCCCGCGGGAAATGATATTTCTATTTTATTTCTGTTATTAGTTATCTTCCTTTTTAGGTTATACTTCTATTAGTTGCAACTCCTACCCTAGATGTTTGAGGTCTTACCATATTTGCAACTCACCTACTTGTTACAATCCCCGTGGGTTTGGGATCATTCGTCCCTACGTGGTAACGATGTAAATCTACGATTAGGAATCTAGATGATACCAACTAGTTGAGATGTCAACTACAAACAAGTGTCGGTCCAATCAAATCAAGACCGATACCAACTTATTCACAACTCGACCCGTGTAGGTCAGTCGCAGGGTGTGATGGTATCCCTACGGGGTCATCTAGATGGTCCGCCTCTTGTAGGGTTGGTATGATACCATCTATTTGTTAGGAATCTAACCTAGGAAGGATGTAGGAATGTAGGTGTATATTTTCCTAACTTATCATTAATTATTGTTTCTGATTTCTACAATCGGACCAAAAGATCAGGATGATCTAATTGGTCTCCTCTTCTAGTTGCAGGTAATAGTAATTGCTGTCCCTGTAGGAATCTGGTAGTCGATCATTCGTCCCTCCCCAAATCCCGCCCGCTCGAGGTGACGAGGTCCTGTGGTGGCTCACAGTCCCTACCTATTCATAACGTCACTACGATATGCTCTAGACCTGACCTCGTTACCGGTTTTACCTTATACACCCACCGGTGAGATTATGAATAGAGAGATGGAATTTGGATTTTAGGTTTTTGATTTGCTACGATTGATTGGTATCCCTACGGGTGGATGATTGATTATTTTAATTTATACCTTTCTATGATTTATGATTAATTGATTGGGTATGATTGGTCTTGACCTGTTGTAGATGAATGATATTTCTAGTCGTAGCTACGCTCCTACACTTTTAATTAACATCTAGATTCCTATTTTAGGTTATACTTATTCTATTTTAGTTGGGTACAATTAGGTATCATGTTTTAGATTCCTATTTTATAATTGATTCTATTTTATGTTTTACATTTAGATTTATCCTTACTTATTTAAGATCTACAAGTATATATCTTTTAGTTATCATCTAATGTATTAGGTTATGATCTAATTGTAGTACAAGGTCTGTTATTATTACTACTTTATTTAATTAACTATTGGGTCCTACATTTCTAGTACATGGTATATTGGGATTATTTAGGTATATCTTCCCTCTAAGATTACTATTTATAAATCTAGGTTATATTATTTATCTTTCTAATAGATTATCATTAATTAGGACTGATTCTATTTCTCAATTGAGTTATGATCTACTTTATTAGTTATTCTATATTTTAGATTCAACTAGTAACATAAATAGTTTGAGATTTGAAAACCGGTCTGATGTCAAACATCAATAATTGTCGTAGGTATATGATAACATAATTTGTAAATTGAAATATTGATTTGAACCCGAATTTGAATATTTCCCGCGGGGATTATTACAATTCCTACAACTGCAATAGTTACTACTTTATTAGTATTATGATCTACTAATTGGGATGGATTGTAATTATATTTTAGATTCTAATTAGGTTATACTTTATGATATACTTTATTAATTCTAATTGTTCATGTATAGTTGGTATTATATTTGTATTACTATTATAATATAGATTCCATTATTTATGATCTATCTTTTATTAATTATTATTACTATTTTATTTGGTTCCATTGGGATTGAGGTTGTGATTGGTCTACTTCTACTGGGATTTAATTAACTACTGTTTTAGATTCCTGATCACTCTTATCGTGACCTCGTCCTGTTGTAGTTTTATAATCAATCACCTTTTATTATTTACCTAGTTTACAATTTACGTAATGATTTACAATTAGCTCTACCCTAAACTGCGGTAGCTATTCGTGACAAGTTAGGTAATCATTTGGTCTCTATGATAACTGTAAGTGTGGTTGTAGGTGTAGGAACATATCATTGTGACAATATGAATAGATAGGGAAAATAGAAAAGTTGGTGTAGCTTAATTGTAAGAGCGATGGTATCTTATACCAGAGGTTGTAGGTTCGATTCCTATCGCTTAGAGGGTGCATACCACCCCATACCAAGATGTATTTTATGGTATTATTTTATTGGTCTTACCTTTTACTTAATTTGGATTATATTCTGCTAGTTTAATTACAGTTGCTATCATATTAGTTATTGTATTAGGTGTCCCTGTTATCCTCTATTGGTAACGGATATTGTTCTTGAATTCAACTATAATAGTTATCATCTCTACCTGTTATATTAGATTACGATTACATATTGTGCTAGGTCTATTTGTAACAGATTGTAGTAGAAATCTAGGGATACCATAACGAAAAATAGTTTCGCGGGATTTGAAATAGTTGGTATGGTCTAGAATCGGTCTGACCTAAAACATGAACAATAGATGATTAATTATCCACCTCAGGTCCAATCACTAATTGTAGATGAGGCAATTGTAGTTGCAATCACAGGTATATCACAAAGAGTCTCGTCGGTACCGGTGGTCCCAACCAGTCGCGTAGCTCTTCTCTACGAGCCACCGAAGGTGTCCCTGTGGGAGTCGGCCTCAAGTCGATCATAAATCAAGATGATCGACAGCTACTACAATAGTTAGAATCCAAAAGATAAATAACCAACTAGTTGGTACCCTCTAATTAGATCACCTGCAATTAGGCGAAAGGCCGACGACAGGCCACTCCCCAATTAGTGGCTGAGAAGAGATGAGCCACCATTCCTTCTCCTTATTCATATCGTCACCCTGATGTGCGTGACACCTGGGGGGG